TTAAATAAAAAAAAATCCAAAGATCTTATGTTTAACAATTTTTATTACCAACACGTCATATAAACATAGATAATGAACTTTTAATATAATGTCAAAGGAATGGAAAGAAATAATAATAGTAAATAATAATAACAATTATATAAAATAATTTATATATAATAACAATTTCGTTCTATTTAATAGCAAAAAATGTTTAAAAAAATTAGAATGCGGAAAAAATTCAAAGGCCGTTAAATAAAAAGATCTGTTATAGTATAAAAAATTATTTTTTTTTAACAAAAAGTTTTATTTTAATTTCTACAAATACTTTATGCAAGAAAAGTAATCTTTCTTTTAGTCGGGCAATCTATAATTCTTATTAAAATATAATTCTCTATTTACAATTTTATATGTCACATAATACAAGAAACAATTGACATACAATAAATATATGCACGGCATAGAAAATTCATAAATAAAAACGCATCGAATCTCTACTCTGATGCTAGCGTTAAGTCAATCACGTGACCTCTTTTTTGACGCTAACGTCAAAAAAAAAGCTGAATTTATTCAGCTTTAAGCATCAAGAAAAATATTAAGTGGCAAAAAAAAACGTGCAGTTCAGCAAAAATTTCAATTTTTTGCCTTACAAAAAGGATTGAATATTCTCAGCAAATGGGTTTATTTCCTATACTATCATGTAGGTAGCACCACATGGAAACCACTCGTGTAACTCGATCGGTTAAGTAGAACACGTGGTATGACAAGGCGCCGGAAGTCTTCGCCTCTTACGGTAAGATCCATAAGCGAATGAAAATTGGATGACAAAACGTGACTCTGGCGATCGTCCAGCTTCATTTTCACCCTCGTAGCTTTCCTGGCAGCGATAAAGGGAATTTACTGCGCGTCCCACATATAGATATATGTGTCACGCATATCGTTTTATACATGGATGCACCCTTGTCCTATTTCAGCAGGAAGACTTCCACTTCCGCTGTTTTGAAACTTACGAAGAATTAGGATATTTAGAATGCGCTTCAAAGTGTATTCCAAACTATTCGTTTGGTTAAGTTTCAAAACAAGTTTCAAAAACATGTAAAATGTATTATTATCTTATATTTTTTATTATTTGTATTATTATCTTATTTTTTTATTTTTTGTATTATATACTTATTTACTTAAATATATTTTAATTGTTATATCGTATCATTTTATTTTGAAACATCTGAGAATGACTTTCCTATCGACATTAATTAATTAATGATTAAAATTGACAGATTTTAGGACTTAAAATAAGATTTCCAGCTATATAATACATCGATACTAGTTTAATCTTTTTTTCATTTATAAAATGACAAAAAATTTATATATATAAATTTATCTCATTCGTATAAACAAAATACTGTATTATTTGACGAGTTTAATTGATGATTGTTCAAAAATCACCTCCTAATATCTAAACTCATTTCTATTCTATTAATCTTATTATTATAATTAATTCTATTTTATTAACTGTAATTTCGACTTAATTTATCTTTAATTCTAATTTTTATAATTAAAAAGAGGAAACGAAAAATTAAATTGAGATTAAAATCTCGCATTAGCGCGATATTAATCTGCACGGTAGAAATAGGCAGAAGACGCGCACGCGAATCGTGTATTGAAAATATCTCCAGGGGAAAAAGCACTTTGCGAGCGCGAATGCATTCGTAACACCCACGATCGGCGATCGATCAGGTGCATAGGGAATTGAAAGGGGTGCCCACGCAAGAGGGAAACGACATCGAAGGGGAGAGCCAACCTTGTTTTGACGCCGACGCGGCAGGCACGCGCGGAATGCGCGAGCGGACGAATTACGTTAAACGTGGGCCGAGTAGCGTAACGAGTCGCCGTTGCATTCTTTTCGCCTTTTTTAGCATCCATCTCCTCCGATAGCAGGCACGTCACGTATGCCGTTGCCGCATCATTACATACGTTGCACAATTGCCCTTTTACCGTCGACTTTTGCGCCCCGAGCGGGTACGATTTCGATTGTGCGCTTCTCCCGCAAAAAGGAAAAACATTTCTGAATGACATTTCTGGATGCAAATAAAGTCGGGAAGTGGCCGTCTTTAAAATGGGACATTGAAACGAGACGAGGCCTGCCTTAATTTCCGTGCGTGAGCCGTTAATTAGGAGATTTAATTTCGAAAAGAAGAGAAGAAGAGAAAGAATAAACATTTTTTTAACAATAGAATAATAGATGGCAGACGGGATTTTAGGTGTCTACTAACTTTTCTTTATTTAAGGAAACTTTATATAAATTTGGAAAAATTACTTATATTGCGAATTACACAGAAAAAAATTAATCTTAAATGACAATAAGACAAATATTCTTATATACATATATATATATATATAAAAAGCAAGTCTATTATATCT